TGACTTTTATTGTAGGGATAAAACTCCTTACCTTGAAAAGACTGTTTGGCTCTGTCCACTAGTTCTTCAATTGAATAACTTGCTAGATCTCCTCTGGCATGCTTAGTTTTACAGTAGGTACATGCATTGAGACACCTGTTTGGAAAATTAAAATACTCAGTGTTTCTAACCAAGAAAACCTTTATATGCACAGCTATGTTTTTAAAGTACATCTGGAAAAATGAACTCCTATATCTATGACCAGAAAATAGCAGTATTTCATTTTAAAATCAATGAAATAGCTTGGAAAGTGTTTTGCCTTCCTAACGTCTTTCACATCTATATAGAAAGTGAAAAAAATGATCAGTGGAAACCACATACAAACCCCAAGTGTGGGAATTTACATAGTTTTAGAGCTTTCTAATAGGGTTAATAATTGTCCTTTTCTAAAGAGGAATCTTCAGGCTTCCAATCCCACTATTATATAATAGATCCAACCCAAACAAGAAAATAAAGGAAAAAAGTCCTGAAAGGCTTCAAGTAGATTTCAAAAACAGCGTGTATTTTTGAAAACACATTTCAGTTACTTTTTCCTTCTCTCCTTTGGCTTGTATAAACAAAACAAATAACCTAATGAAGACAGAATCACCAAGTAGAAAGACAGCTTGGCACAAGAGATTGGGGAACAAATGAAAAGTCCCGTAAGAAAACGAAAGAATAATGTGAAGGCTTTTAATTTACCTGACAATATAGTAAAGGCAGACTAATTCAAAGTGCAAGGAGGGCAAACCAAACCAAACAAAAACTACCACTCACTGTAAGTTTTTCTTGGATTAGCTTTTGATTCCTGGTAGTGCCATGAATGCAATAAGCAGAACATTAAAAGAAGCTTGCTGTGCAAAGATAGCTAGACGACATTTACTGTGTTTACTACTTGGATCTATCTTTTCATCTCTTACCATGTCTGGTACCTCCACGACTAGATGATTACTGCTACATGATTGCAAACTCTAATGATATTCCTTCACAAAGATTGCCGTCACGTGTTAGTTCTACTTCCTTTGCAAAAGCAGCGGTTCAGATGGCACAAAACACTGCACAGAACATTTGCTTAGGTGCCCTCTTCCCCCTGCATATTACCTTGGCCCTGAGACCTTCTCCATTCAACAGTCTTATTTTCTTCCACAGAATATCTAGATAGGTCATGATTGTCTCTGCTAGACTGGATATGTTTATTATTTTTCCTGCCTATCAGACCCAAATAACAGATTTTAGCATCCACTTTAGATCTAAATATACTAATATACTAAATATACTAAAATATACTGCTTAACCACAGCAATCACTGTTCTATTAAATAAAAATACATACAAAAAAGGCTGCCAGTAAAATATCCAACTGTCTATTAAAAATAGGGGAAAAAAAAATCCCTAAATCTGAACCAAAACCAACCAACCAAAACAACGAACAAATCTCACGACTAACAACTTTTACAATTTACTGAAATTTTGAAATTCTGACTTACTACAAATTTGGTGTAAAAGTGAGTTTCAACAAAAATATTATTACACTTTTTTTTCATCTTGCAGGAAAACTGCTTTTTTTAGACTTTCAAAAGTGTCAATTTATCATAAGATTATTAAAAACTATAATTTTAGCAAGTTATTTAAAATAAACTTCTAAATTTATTCCTGGATAATAGATCTAAATAAATACAAAATCTAAACTGGTATCGATGTACAATAAAAGGGATTACTTATGCTATTTACATAGAATCATAAAATCAGCTGGGTTGGAAAGGACCTCTGAGATTGTCGAGTCCAGCCCTTGATCCACTACCAGCACAGTTACTATATCATGGCACTCAGTGCCACATCCAGTCTCTTCTTAAACACCTCCAGGGACGGAGAATCCACCACCTCTCTGGGCAGCCCATTCCAATGTCTGATTACCCTCTCTGTAAAGAACATGGCATTTTTCTGTTTCCTTATCATGTACACTGCATTTATAAAACACAGCACGTTATCTCTTTCTCTCTTCTCCTTAAAATTTATGCACAAATCATGTGTTTCCTTACAAGTCACGTTGCTTTGTATTTGTGTAGCAGTATTTGAAAAGCTCTACAGCAATAGTATGAAGCACTAGAAGTATAAAGCACTAACAGTACTAAGTGCTGAAACTTACACCTTCAGGATAAGTTTCACATCTTCCTCCTTTCCTACATCAACACTCCTTTCCTACAAGAAAACATCCGGCAACAGCAGCTCTTCTCTGGTTCTTCAGTAAGCTTCATCACAAAGGGAGAATAGAAATGTGGAGCAAGAAGTATGAAGAAAGAAGAGGGAGATATTTTCCAAATACCCACAGTATTATTGTATTATTTCTCCACATTTTCACGGTGTTACTATATTATTTTCCAAATATTCACAGTATTATGTGGGATTGTTTCCAAGTGTTTTGTTACTGCGGTCTTTAACTACAACTTTAGGGGTTTGTTGATTTATTTTTGGGTAGGAGCTGAAAGCTGGGATTTGGAGGCAGATTTTTTTCCCAAGTTTTGCTGTACCAGTTAACTTATTCCTACTATTAAAAAAAAAGTATTGTGGAATGCCTACATAACTTAATTTTTATCTTCTTTGGTATTTAAAGAGATTATTTAACAAAATCAAAATGAGGCAGACTTAGATGTAACATAAAAAAAGATCAATTTTAGCAAGCAAATCAGAAGAGGTAAAACTTTTAAATCCTATTTGTACCATATTTGTTAATTCCAACCTGGAAAAAGAAAAAATCTTTTGGGCTACAGCTGACCAATAAAAAGATGCAGGTTTCAACTATTTGTAAAAATGCCGAACTAAGCACTTTTCACAGATTTGAGAATTACCAATTCTTGAAAAATAGAAATTTAAACCAAACCATTAGTATAAGAAAGTATCTGGTTTTTTTCCCTAGTGAGCTTCAGCCTCTGCTGCAAGTTTCCAGCACAACAAATTACTCATATGCCCATGTTGCCACAGACTCAGACCACAGACAGTGGAAAAAGGCTGTTGGGAACTCTGAGAATCTGAGCATTGCCTCTTACTAAGTGGAATTCACCAGCAAGTGGATCATCTAAAACCAGACTAGGTAAAGCTCTCCCTAAAAATCAGCCTTTACCCTGGCTATTGCTCAAATACATAGGATTAGTAGTTGCAAGAGAGTATTTGTGTTTAAACTGGAAGGCTTCTTCAAGCGCTTAAAGCTGGTTTGTAAATGTTAGTTATTAATACAGGTCAAAGGTTTCTTCTGCACAAAGAAATCACAGACATTTCTAGAAAAAAAACAATTCATGATCATTGTGTTTGTAGTTACCAGTATGTTTTGGATAATTTTACAGTGATTCCAGAAAAAAAACCCTGAGTCCTGCTTTTTCAGCATACTAAACTGATTAAGGTGCTTTGAATTATTAACCTTTTGCTTTGAATTATTAACCTTTAATCAGCTACGTGCCCAATACACAGAACCATTCACAGCAAAGTAAAATATTATTCACAGATAAATTACTACCATGTGGCTAATTAAAAACTTTCTGAACAAACTGTGTATCATCAACATTTTGGTCAAGTGCCTGAAATTTTCTTGTAGACATAGGTAACAGTGGTCTTCACGTTGTTTAGCTAGTTTGTGCTCTAGTTGTGCATTAGATTAATCACAGCCTTCATTTTCAAAACAGTAATACTGCTCATAAAACACATACTTAACATGAAAGGCTACCCCTTGCAGATGGAACTAATTATGAGTAAGAATGCTTATGACACAGCAGACAAATAGAGACTTTCCTTCAGCGGGACTAATCAGCGGATTTCAGCAGATGAGAATGAGGTACAGACACGAGGAGCAAAATCCTGGTTCCTCTTAATGGGGTTTGTGCCACTAAGTTTAGTGAAGACAGGATTCCACCCTCAGATGCGAAAAGTATAAAACATCTTTCATCCAAGGATCAGAAAACAACTCAGTTACAGCCCTTAATGAGCCATTAGTGTGCATGTCACTCAAATTGAAAGTGATTGATCAAGACCAGACATCTGTGAGCAAGATGGGAGAGCTGAGTGCTGCAACAGTGCCATGTGATAGAGGAGATCTCTGCTGCTCTGCAGGTGGTTAATTCTGGGGAAATGTTCCTTTAATATCTGGAATAATCCAGTAAATTCTTCCTTGGTAACAACCAACTAAAATTCTTGTTTGGCATTATCCTGGTAAACAAACAAACAAACAAACAAAAAAACTAAACCAAAACCAAGCAAACCTCAGTCCTGAGTTTAACAAATTAGAACTTTGCATATAATCGTTAATCACAATTCAGACTAACCACCCATATCTGCCTTTATGAGATTGGACTACTATATTCAAGATTTTATGAAGTTCACCCTATTAAAAAAAAAATAATAACAAATTCTGCCCATAGTGCAGAGCCCACGATCATCACATCAGTGCAAACATGGAAAGATTGCTCATCACTGTCTCCCACAACATCTCTCTGCACCTACCATAAGACTTCCTTAGGCAGCCTCAATAATTCCAGGCCAAGAATATTTTGTATTAGTAAACTGTGGTTTTCCTGAAAGGGGAGTGTCATTTGCTTGTTTCAAAATACAGTTTACAGAAGAGATTTATGCTTTTACAAGATACTTTTAGAGTTTGTATCAAATGTAAGATTGGTAAAATTCTCTGTAGTGTGAATAAAGAGAAAACACCCCTTGTGGGCTTGACTGAGCAAAAGAAAGATGAGAAATATATTCTCCCAGCAGATGAAAAGGAGATGGATACTAGTCACAAGTTACTGAACAAGAGCTAGTAGAATTCTACAAACATTTTTCTCCTTAGGATACGAAGTTTTGACAATCTAAGAACAGCACTTATATTATATTTATGGTTAAATATCATACTATATTTATAGAATTAGATGCCATTCGTATTTCATAGTAATGAAGTCTACTTTGTACTTCCAAAATTTCTGAATTCCCTCAAACGTAATTGCAACGGATCAGGAGGATGGGGGAAGTAATTAACAGGAAAATTAAAAAATATAAATAAATAAATAAATAAATCATGCCTAATATGCCTGATTTTTTTTTAGGACACCATTCTTTTGCCCTAAGTTTGCACATTCTACAATA